AGATAACAAAAGTGTTAAATTAGGTTTGATGAAACTAATGTGTGCTTAGGAGGAAAAACTAGTTGCAAATTTTAACGTCAGAATATTCTTGGGAATATTCTGGAGATAAATTACTTTTATTTCTGTTAAAACATTATATTTGAAGAAATTTTAAAAATCAAGATAAAAGCATTTATGTAAGCTTTTCAAAACAATTTGAAATTGTTTTCATAAATTTAATAAAAAAGTGCAAAGAAAGAAACATTTTGTTATCATTTCAATTTTCTTCTATTATTATTATAATTATGCTAATTGCTAATTAAATAATATGAATAACTAAATTTTTTTTTGTTTATGTCACGTTTTCTTCTTCATTAAGAGAATTTAAAGAGTTGTTTCATTCAGACTGATTTCAAGAAAACATAGAAAATCTGATTTTAAAACCTAATTGTTTATTTTATTTATTAATCTATCATTAATTTATCAATTATTAATTATTCAAAATCTTCAAGCGACAAAATTCCCCAAATAATTTTTGTTCATCTGCATCTGTCTCTTAAATTTAACCAACAGTTGTTCATTTATTGTTAAAAATAAGTGTAAAATACGCACTTACTTTTATAACTCAATTAACAATGAAATTAGGACAAATCGCAGTGATATTATAAAAACCCGAATATTATAATTTAGTATGTGTTCATCAATAAGGGTTTTTTTTCCAACCCTACCCAAAAAATTTTAATTTAATGAATCTTCATCACGCGTTATTTAAGAAAAACAGGAAATACCATGGGGAATAAAGGAACCATTGTGAAATTAAAATAATTGAAATTAGGAAAGATCCTTAAAGAAAATTGATTTCTTACATCATTAATTCTAAAACGTCTAAGCATCATTAAACACCTTCTTACAGATCTCAATTAAATGTGGAAGATGCTTAGTTTCCTAAATTGAGTCTATTGCACCTCCCTCATGAAAAGTGCATTCTATAGATAATTAAAAATGAAAATTTATATCTAACAGAATGGAGGTTTGTGTTACAATTAGACAACCTAAAGCTATATTTATTATTTAAAGATTTGGACACTATTTAATGAAGAAAAAAGACTTACATTTCTATAAATATGCAGAGTGGGGCAAATTATGAAAACCATTCATGAGTTAATTTCTTAAAAAAAAAAAGAAAAACATCAATGTAGTTTGAAGCATTTTCAAAACCTCTTCAAATAAGGAAGGGAACTTGCTTTCAAAAAGATGGATGTAAACTTTTTGTTGATGTAGTAGTATTTTTTGTCAATAATGAAATAAGGACAAAATTATTATTCCCTTTTTTCTAGCACTAGCTGTCACGGCCAATCACTATTTTATATTACCTTCATCTGGAAGCGATCTTTCTATGAAGAATGTAATTTTTGAGTTTGATAATATTGAATCAGTTGGTCAATATCTAACATTAATTCCTAGCTTCTTGAATTAAACAAAAAAAATAGATATTCTAACATAAATTTTATATAATATTAACAAAGAAGAAAAGTGTACAATTTAAAGTGTTCGTTTGGAAAAACTGCTGTTTTGAATTAATACACTTTGTTATTTTCTGTAAATTTAATAAAACCAATTTTAAAACTATTATTTATTTCCAAGAATAAAATCCTAAAATTTATTTATTTTTATCATTATGCAGATAAGTTAATGCTTTATATTGAAAAAAGGAAACTCTGATATCAGCAAAACTTAATAACAAAAAAAAATCCAACTGGTGGCAAATTGTTAAGTATTCTCCTCATAATAGGTAGTAAAAAGTTGTCGGGTTTTAGCAAGGACGAGAAAATGGGCTTCATTCACTGCTATTTAAACAAATGACTCTTTGTTTGCGAAGTATAATTCTCCGCTAAATTGAAGGGGATCATTCTTAAGATGATCAAACTATTAGTTTTGAAGCTATACAGGTTTGTGTATAACAGCACAATTTTGTGCTGATACCCATTTACGTACCTAAGCAAGTGAAAATTATTTTCTAGTGATTTTCATACAGAATTTCATGAAAGAAACGTGGCAGGAAAAGTAGTTTAGAAATTATAAAAGTCTTCTTACTACAAACTACAATTTGAAATTATCATTTCTATTTAATAAATCCACTATAAGTTTGTAAATATTAGTCCAAAGACTCTTGCTAAGTTTCATTTGATTCCGCATAAAAACGATAGAGGAAACATTCCTTCCTATATTATCTAAATAGTAGCATGAAATCTCTTTACTTGCTACCCCTGGTCGAAACTGCACGTGCAATGGAGGGTAATTATTAACCTCTTACTATGAGGAGGATACTTAACAGTTTGCTGCTGGTTTGAACGTTTTTTTTTTATCTTGGTTTTTGTCAATCTTTGGAGCTTATGTGGTGAACCGGGTTTGAATCCCGGTGATGGCTGGTCGATACGAATTCCGTACCCGGATCACATCGACCAGTAGTGGACGGGTAATGGGTTAGAGTCACCTTTCCGTCAGGCTAAATGTGGGAGGTTTTCGTGGTTTTCTTCTCCGTGTAACGCAAATGCCGGTAAGTAGCGTCAAAAAGTCCTCCACAAAGACAACTTTCTCCCAACACCTAATCCAGGAGTTCTCATGTCTTCTGGATTGGGTTCAAAATCACAAGGCTACGGAGATGAACATTGGTAGCCGTAAACTCAAAACTGGGCCTGCTGTTCAAAGTCAGTTATAAAATAAAAACTTTGGAGCTACCTTTGTTGTACTATTAATTAAGCATTAACTTACACTTGCGTTTTTCTGTTTTCATCTTTGTTTCATATCAAGTCTCTGGCAAACCAGTTAAATAGATTTGAATATAAAAACACTTAGAGCAAAAAATCTATGTTTGAGTATTTAATAATTTATTAAATGATCTTATTCTGGTGATGGATGAGTTAATTAGTTTGCTTCAGTGCCAAATAAACCGATCAGAAACTTTGAAAGTAACCTAGCAATTCGTAATCTTCATTACTAAGAATAATTTATGTACTCATGAAATGGATTGTGATTGCCGTTAAAGCATTATTTCTTCAAAGATTGGGGTGTTATTAGGAAGCTGTACACATCAAAAACATAACCACCTCATGAGTGATTGCTAATTATTATGAAATGTTAAGTGGTCTGTTGTCAATTTCGAAGTTCATTATTTCTATCTATTTGTAGTCCACAAATGTTATATTCTAAATAATAAATAGAATGGGATTTTTATGCTCTTTGAAATCGATCTTATTTCTCATATGATATAATGCTGAATTCCAATCACTTTAGGTCTAGAAATCTTATTAATTATTATGTTTTATTTTTCTTTATGAATTGCATTATGTCCTACGTTTCTAATATCTGAAATAATTCCAAAAACTAAAAAAAAAATGAAAAAAAATTTTTTTTGGTTTTTGTTATATTTTAGAAAAAAAAGTAAACATTTTAAGCAAATATTTAAGACGTTATAATTTGTTGAGATTATTTTATATTTCATTCTTCGATTCAACTTATATTATAATGCATATTTTATTTATTATGTTTTTTTCATTTTTGTGTTTTGTAAACATATGATATTGCTTCGTCTTGTATCAGTTAGCTAAAATGTTATATATAACTTTAGATGCCACACCGTTAGGATAAGTTTTTAAAGTTTTATTTAAAGTTTTAACATGATTTTTTATGCTAAATATATATTATATCCAAAACTAAAAATAATTAATTTAAAACTACATTTCTTACAAAAGCACACTTTGATTTGTATCGTTTTTATTTTTATCAATATTATATAAAATTGAGGTTCACGTATCTACTTTTTTGTTCAATACAATCATTTAAGCATTAATTTAAAATATTAGCCAACTGAATCAACATTATCAAACTCAAAAATTATAGTTTGAAAAAGCAGTTAACATATTATTAAAAGCAGTATGCAATAAGATATTTGTTAGGTATATATCAGTTGCTAAAATATCAGTTAGGTGATGAAATATTAGTTGCTAAGATTATTATTATATAAATGTTCACATATCATGACAAGCATTTAAGTTTAAATTTTAAATTTCACCATCTTCTCTAAAGTAATGCATTGTTTTAAGTACCAATACTTAGAGTTATGTCCTTAAAAGTTTCAACTTATCCTTAAAAAGTATTAATGTATCTCTATCTTAGTGCATCATTCAACATTTATAGCTTTGACTTATGTTCTTATCCACAGTGAGCATAATGTATTTTATAATATAAAATTACTATTTGTGTATTATTTTAGTATACTATCATTTTCTTCTGTAGTTATTTCGATAGTTATTTAGGGGAGTTGTTTAGGGGAGTTTATGTAGTTATTTAGGAGAGAGTTCCACCTAGGGACGAACAGCATAGCCTTGTCATCAATTGGTGACTAACAAATTTAACCTGACATAGTTGTTCCCTTAGCCATCAAGAGTTTGTGTAGAGTAACTAGCAGCTTTAGTGTAAGATTTATGAGAGCTGGAAAATGAAATAAATTAAATAAAAATTCATCGGAAAAAATATTATTTCATTTCTTTCCTATTATCCAACTAATTTTCTATCCAACTAATCGCAAACATTTTTACCTGTCATGTTTTTTTTCAATGTCTTGTAACTTAGGACAAGATTTCAATTGCAATTTACGACCTCCTGAGATACAGCATAATATGATGCTGCTTAGAAATCGCATTAAAGAGCTTTACGATTGATCTCCGGAATGTTATGGGGAAGTTTTTGTTAGTAAAAAAAATATTTCAAGTCAAAGTTATAGATACCTCCAGTTCAGAGGATGAATAAATAATTTTTTTTGTTTGACTAAGAAGACAATGATATGTCCATGCAGGAATTAATAGAAGGAGAGTTGGAAGAAGAAATGGAAGCATCAATTCATTGCAGTTTTGAATGTGGCAAGATTAAAAAGGACTATTATATTTTAGTTAAACACTTTTCTTTCAAAAAATGAAAATATGTATATGAAATAGATGAAGAAAAAATAATATATAAATTACCTTCACCCTCAGCAACAGGGTCTTCAGTGCATCAAAAGCAAGTTCCCTGTGAATTTCAGTGCATATGATATGCCCATGGATTAATCTGGTAAATAAAAAAGGGATTTTTTTTCATTTTTTTCTATAATGTTTTGTATTTTATATTCATTAAATAAGATTTATTTAATATATTTTGTCTATTTTTCATTTAGTACCAAGGTATAATACCCTGCATCCCAAAGTACGACATCCTGCATTTCAAGGTTAAATACAGGTGTTGTACCTTCGGATACTTTGCAAAGGTGTAAAAAATATATTTTTTCACTCCCTTATAAAATAATACATTTTTAATTTTAAAGTTCATTCCTTAAATAGTAAGCAATAAGATATTAGTATCATTTCAACTGTAATCTTTTCTCAAATAAAAATATATATTGTTTTTAAACTATCCCTAGGTACAACGCCTTAACATTTAGTTTCCTCTATAAATTTGTGCAGTTATTTTTTATTGTTCAAATTTACATTGAAAAGAATAATGTTTTTGATAGGTAAAAAATGCATTTTAACATTATAAAAGTTATATTTCATATTTGCATATCGGGGAGGCCTAAATATTTGATTTTATAAAAGACAAAAGATACATATTAATTTTTAATTCACTCTTTCATATTTCTTAAACTTCTAAATATATAATAAGCTTAAAGCTAAGTGTCAGTAGAAAAAAAAAAGAAATTAAATACTTTTAGTCTTTATGAATAACTATATTGCGAAGAATAAACAAATAAAAATTCAAATAAACTGATTTTCTGCACACAAAAAAAATGATCTGATTTTTATTATGACGGAAAAATATGTGACCTCGTTTCAGCACTCTTTAATTTTTTTGCTTTATCTATCCACTTCTTTTAAACTTTTTTTTTATATTATACATTTCTTTTTTTTATGCCTAAAGAAGTAAAAAAGATTTCGAAAAAAATGAGTGCCGTTATAATATAATCTTTGTATTCCCGGTTCCAGTTAATGAAAATTTATTAATGATTGTAGAAAAAGTGTGAATGGATTTTTTCTTTCGTTCTGGGACTTTCACAATTACTTCTTTCAAATTATCCATTTTTTTTCGATAAAAGGTATTTAAGAGAAGCGGCATAATACAGATCTTTAGCGCAAGGAATTGGTTATTAAATGTCATTTTTAATTAAATCGCGTAACTAAAAGGGATATGCATCGGAGAAAAGAAATTCCCTTTGGGTTATAATTTAATTAAGGAATGTATGTTAAATATATAGCTTAAACGTAAAATGCAGTTCACCAAGGAACTGCATTTTCAATACACTTAAATTATAGCAAACTGAGTAAGTGTTAAAAGTAGAAATAGATATTAATTCTGCTCGTCCAAATGCTCGGCTTCAATTGAAATGGTACATAAAGACAAAAATAATCAAAATGTGGAAGAACATAAAATGCAATGCCAAAAAATTAAAACCTGTTTCATTTTCGTAATAAATTTCAAAAATTTTATTAGAAAACTATATTTTTTTTAAATTTATATGATACAATAACGGATAAAAGGAAAGAGAAATTAACAAAAAAAGAGGAAGAATAAGAAGTTAAGATTTCTAAATTTTTATTAACTGAGCATAAACTGAGCATAAGTATAAAGAACCATATTAGGAGAAAATATATAAAGGAAGAAAACATTTTAAAAGCAAAGAAGAAAAATTATGAAAAAAATAACTTTGAAATTATTATTTTTTATAGTAATTTTTCATAATAACTACAACTCTAAGAGGACGCATAGATTGGTATAAATCAATAACTGTAATTTTTATTGATAAAACCTGAGTTTGTATTAAATAATTCGATCATAGTTTTTATTTTATTAAAATAAAGGTTGAAGAGAAACAATGCCTCAAATTTTTTTCAAACATGTCCTTTTAAAGCATAAAACATATAAAACTTCTTTTAGTTCCTTTGACTTGGAATTATATTCGTTTAATTCAGCGAAATAAAATGCATTAGAAGTAATACCTTATTTGTCTAGATAGGTACATTTTAATTTCCCCCCTCGAATTAGAGCCCTTTTGCACTTAAACCTATCAAAACAAAAACGAAAAAATTCACATATTACTGCTTAAAAATTATTTTTGTTTATTTCGCATCACAGACTAACCTTAATACTTAAAATTTTACTGACGTTTTAGTTAAGGGTGACGACATATAGCAGTGTTTATATATTTTTTTTCAAATGCGTGAATTGTACGTGATAGAATTTTTTCACTCTTTTTTTTTCTTCCTGAAACCAGCATTAAAAAACTTCTCTGAATGAGCTATTAGTTACAGGCACGAGCAATTTAAATGTATGAATGATAATTCTGAATGCAAACTAAAATTGTTTTATAAAAGAAAATGCCTTAATTGATCAAATAGCATCAAAGATATCAGCAATTTGATACCTTGCAATAAAATATGCCCTGATTTAAACTACAAATGAGCATTGAACCCAGTAACGTGACAGCCAATGGAGGGTCAAGGTTTATTATTCCCATCCCACTTTGAGCTCTGGGATGCAGGAGCAGATGCTTCTCTTGAGCGTTCCGTAAGCAGATATTCCGAAAATTCCGAGCAGGTAGATGCTCCTAAAGCAGAATTCCCAATGTCTAGTTCCAAAGGAAGCCTGGTACTCATTTTATCCACCCACAAAAGCGATAATAGGCAAAGTCGACCTTTCCCAGTCCGAGGACAGCACCCAGGACCTGTGGCATGAGAGCGAGTAGTGCTAGCAGCAAGGCTTTATAAATGATTATTAAAGATTATAAATTGACTCTTGAATTCCAATAAAAATATATTAAGAATAAAAATGAGTCTGTAGATAAATTTCACTTGATCTTATTTCAATTAAACCATTGAAAAGGCTGGAATACATCTAGAATAGATATGATCAGTATTAACTATAATTAGAAAAAACTCGTTAAAGTTGAAATTTAGTAATTTCCTTTTAAGTTCAGCATTTTTTTAATGCAAACGTATTTATACTACTTAGATTTGTGAAAAAAGTAGAATATCTATGATTCCAATAGCTATGACCAATGCTAGCTTGAAATTACTAGAGATCTCTGAATACATTTAAGGATTAATGCCAATAAGCATAATGGTTTGGAAAGCTTATAATATTCATAGAGAACTTTGAATCCCATTTATGTATTTTAACATTTTTTATATTATACTTTAAATAATTTCAACTTATCCTTGGAAGTTTCAGTGAATTTCTTAAAAAAGTTTTGTTTAAAAATCACGTATTAGATTAGGTATTAGATTCTGGTATTAGATTTTGGCATTAGATTAAACTTAGGTATTAGATTAAAACGTAACAATACGCATAATGGCCAGCACCAAAAATACACCAAATGCTTCGAAATTTCGTAATTTTTAGGCAATGGAAAATGTTTTGAATATTTCAGTTAGTCTTAGTAAAATCATTTTTTCAATTCAAGTAACTTATTGAAAATAAAAGAAAAATAATTGAAGAAAAATAATAATAAATATCGTATTCAAAATTGCCATTCTATATTTAATTAGACCCAGAATTACACGATTTGATTCATTAATAACTTAAAATTGTCAACTTTTTTAAAATTAAAATTTCCGAAAAATTTTACGAAACTCCTAAAGAAAATTCAAAATGAAAAAAAGAAAATCAAAATTAAAAATTTTTAAATTATGAAATGAATTAAGTACAAGTGAAGATTTTGCGGTACATTAATAATTAAGCCTCATTTTCATCAAAATTAGGTTTAGGGTGAAAAATACAACGATTTACATATACAGAATAGTTACTGTGTGGTATGCTATCATCTATTGAAGTTATGGAAATGCTCCTTTATTTAATTTCATAACCTTCGTTGAACAGCCACCCTAATTTTTTGAGTTTAAGATTACTAATGATCAACTTCGTAGCCCTGTAATTTTGAACTCAATCCAGAAGACGAGAGAACTAACCCACATTTGCTTTATATGGAGAAAACCACAAAAACCTACCATGGTTAGTCTGAAAGCAAGGGGACTAACTCATGATCCGTCTACCACTGAGGATATCTTATGTCAGCACTGTGGTCAGGGGAAGCCGGATGCGGAATTCGTTTCGACCAGCCATCACTGAGATTCGAATCCGATTCACCTCATTGAAAGGTGAACGCTCTATCCCCTGAGCCATCATGGCTCTAGAAATGTCACTAGTAACTACTGTTGGCACTCGAACACGTACAAAGGTACCAACTACAACCCTGATCATTCAGCCTTCGTCTCAGACTGTCCGACATACCAACAAATACTACATTCGCTAAGAATGAAATTCATCGACAGCTAGATACATTTACATTATAAATGTTTTCCTACAAAATTTTGATCTTCATGAAACCTTAAAAAACTTTAGGAAAAAAAGAAAAACAAACTTTCTTCCATAACTTTTTAGACTTTTGAAAAACTTTTAAATTTTCTTTTTTCTTTTTTTTATTATTCTTCAAAATTTGACACAACGAAAATTTTAAAAAAGAAAAAATACGTTTCTTCTTGTCAACAACTACATATGCAGTTTTTCATATCCATTTGCTGTTTGCTGCTCACCTATATGTACTGGTGTACTCACTATTGTTTTTGCTTCATTTGTTGTTTCATTTTTTTTATTTATTTATTTATTTTTTATTAACTAATGTGATACACATTATTGTCATCTGCATAACGCAATTGTGCTTTGTATTTGTGGTGCAGTTATGAATTTTGTAATTGTTTGCTTATGTGCTGTGTATTGTGCGAACTAGACTGTCGGCCAGACGTGGACTATACGGTTAAGGGTTTTGCCAACCTAGGTACGTGTCCACGTCTGGAAGAAAAAAAAAGTTACCATATGGAAGCAATTCTTAAAAACAGTTTGATGTAAATACCGAATCTTTACAACTTAGTGTGAATTATCAACATATTTCGCCAGCTCTTTCAACCTTATTCATCGAATAAATTCTTAAACAACTGTAATTTTATTATTAGGGAATCAAATAAACTAAGTATTATCCTCTTTACACCAAAAATCTTACTTTCTTGAATTATGAAAAAAAGCATTCATTACTCACACCTAGCTATTTTCATGTTCCGATAAGAAAATAAATAATACCTAAGTCCGTGCTATAAAAATGCAAATTGTAGCAAAATACTTTCTAAGATCTTATAATGCACAAGGAGAAAAGTCATTAAAATTAGCCGAAATTGTTAGGAATAATTGACTCGCTGTGAAGTATAGTTAACAGGATTAAAATAAACAATATTTCGATGAATGAACGTAACGCAATTAACAAGTTTTAAAATAAATTTGTCCTAAGTTATTTCAAAACAAGATTGCAAAAGATTCTGCTTACCAACCAAAGAGCTCAAACAGACGTCAATGGAAAGATAATTACCTCAGAAGATAATTAGATTTTACCAATCATTAAAAAAGCATTGCGTGAAGATACTGAAATATGAATATTTGAAAACATGAAAATCGTAGTAGAATTTACTTTGTCGTTTAGAACTTGGTCTATGTTTTATTTCATTTTGGTTAAAAAGTATTTTGTACTAAAAGGGATTTGATAAGAAAACCTACTTTCTTATTAACTGCATTTTATCATGTTTAAAATAGAATGAAAGTGGTACTGAAATCTGACGAACAAATGTAAAGTTGAAAATGCTGATGAAATTTATAAAATAAAAAATACCAAACCCAATTTATCTATCAGTTAGATTTAAAAGTCGTTCCTAAAAACACTTTTCACTGACTTTCGGTTTTACTAGCAAAAACAGGTATTAAAGATTTTAATCTTTATTTTACTGTCATTGACCTCAATTAATTTGTCAGATTTATTTCTTTCTGTAAATATGAACTCGTACTCGTTGTAAAGTGTAATTAATTTTATTTTTGAGAAAAACTTTAAAAATTCATACTACTCCAAATGATTTATTCACATTTGATCACTGTACAAATTGAGTAACTCTTCATATAGATATATACGAGTCCTTACAAACAAATAACCTAGTTTTAATAATTTTGATCTTTAATTTTCAGTCTCAAAACGTCATATATATATCAAAGTAACATTCAAGGGAAAGACAAGGGGAAAACAAAAATGCTTTTTAAATCCATTGAATCAGCAATGTGGTGGATGAAAACATCAAAACCACTATTTGCCTGATTAATTTAGTATTAAATTAGAGTAACTTAGTATATTTAATAAACACTTTTCAACTTCTCTTCTTTTTATGTCATTTTAATGTTTTTATCCTCACCGTCGTTCATGGTGATTTCTAAAATTTTGAAATCATTATTTTTTTCTTTTATTTAATATTAATGAGCTACTTCAACTATGTCTACTTCTTTTCTAAGAATATACATTATCTATATACATTATACATTATCTATTCTAAGAATATACATTAAAAATGATTCCTTGTATAAAGTAAGTTTAGTTTATTTGTTCAGTAACTTTTTTGTTCTATAAACCACTATTTATGAAGCCATAAAAATGGCTGCTTAAATATCTAACATTTACTTTTTCCAGATCTATTTTGACATTTTTTTTATTTGACTATATTTAAAAGGAAAAAAAAGCATCGCATATAGCTAGATCTTTTTAAAATTTTTGCTATGAAAATAAAGCATAAAAGTACTATGTGCAGTAAAATTTAAGATTCTTTTCAAGTGGGTTTGATATTTTATCAAGAGTTTCTGTTTGGAAAGATTGAAGTTGTTTTATGGACCACCAAGGATGCAGAGAGGTTTACAATAAAAAGTATTTCCAACATAATCTTTCAGCTCTTTCTACTCCAGATTTTTTCTCTTTGCCATTTTTCAACAAGTATAAACACAGCGATTTAGTCTCAATGGTTGGTATGGGGTGTATTTTAGAGAGTTTGAAAAAACATAAGGAGTCTTTTATTAGCTTTTATTTTCGAATGTAAAAAGTTATGAACACCGGGACTCAAAAAAACTCAAAAAATTACAAGTCTTACCAGGAATTTTAGCATATACTGGGAGGCTCTACACCCTGTTTGCTCCGCTTACCAATCCTATTTGATGATTCTCACTCATTTTTTTTCCATAAAATCTATGAAAATGAACATTTAGTTTGCAAAATAAATATTTTTCATAAATTTACGTAAACACATTTTATTAATATTTTAAGCACAATGAAATTAAAGGATACCTGGATTGAAAAAACATTATCAACTGTATTATTTCTGCATTCAATTAAACATAAGAATACAGAAATTATAATAATACGAAGATATAATAAGACGATATAATAAGTAGTAGTAAAGAAGAAGTAATTTTACTTGTTACCACTGTATAACGATAACCTTGTATTCTATATGTCATTCTATAACAAAAAAATCGACGCACCAAGAAGAAGTTGTCCGATTGAAACGAAAAATGGTAAATAAGAAGACAAGGTACAGAATAATAAATGATTAAAATTTCAGAGCAATTGAATAATCTATTGCAGAGTTACAGTAAGAAGTTCAATAAGGTGTTTACCCGCATCTGGCCTGGATACAAGCTGCCACACGGCGTGGCAAAGACCAATAAAGCTCCCGGATGGCCTCTTGTGGTATTTCCTGCCAAATTTGATCCAATTGTCGAACGAGGTCATCAGCATTCTGTGCCAGATGCAATCGCCTTCCCATCATATCCCAGACATGATCGATGGGAGAGAGGTCTGGCGATCTGGCAGGTCAAGGAAGAGTTTGATAAGCTTGCAGACAGTTCATAGCAACACGTGCCGTATGTGGTCTGGCATTGTCCTGCTGAAATACCAGCCCAGGGCGCTGCAGAAGGAACGGTAGCAGAACAGGTCTTACGATGTCGTCGATGTACCGCTGTGCAGTAAGTGTACCTCTAATGACGACCAAAGGGGTCCGGCTGTCAAAGGAAATGGCACCCCAGACCATAATGCCTTGTTGAGGGTGAGTTTAGGCGTGCAATAGTGAAGGCAGGATTCCCCCTCTGCCTTGTGCGTCTCCAAACAAGTCTTCGATGATCGTCAGGACACAGTTGGAAGCGGGATTCGTCGCTAAAGACTATACGTCCCCAGTCGGCATCATTCCAGCCTGATCGAGCGTCGATTTTGAGGCGTCTTAGTGTGTTCTTGGTGCGTCGATTTTTTTATTATAGACTGTATAACAGTTAGTATTGGAAATTGCTTTTATCTATCTTTATCTTGCTTTTGTCTATCTATCTTTAAGAATTTCGATATAAATATTAACATTTATATTTGGCAACATCTACACTCTATTTGTATTTTTTTTTATTTCTTTGTTACTTTTGAAATCAAATCAAGCGTAAGTTTATATTATTAAAACGTCATGAAATTTTTTTTCGATAGGAATGTGTAAATATTTATTATTTAAAGGAAAAATATTCAAAAAAGCAATAAAAGTAATTTTTCAATCAAATTGAAATTTAAAACCATGTTTAAATTCCTTCCTGCAGTTGCATTTCAGTGGTCAATAGATTGGCGTAGTAAAACACTGTTTTGTTTTACTACGCGTTTAACAGTTAATAAGTCTTGAACCAATAATCAAATCAACATTTTTTTTAACTCTTCAAACAACTTCCCATCAAACTCTTAGTAAATTTTCCTATACACCGTCTTAAATTCAAGATTCTTAACCTGACATGCTTTGCTTAGAAAAGTAAAATCTAACGTAAAATTGCGCAGCCTCGAACTAAATGTAGAATATTTTTCTTAAAACATCGTATTCCTTGTACATTTTTCTACATAAATTACTGTTTTCAAGTTTCTAAATTAAATAAAATTTGCTTAACTAACCAAAATAGCACGTTAAGTTGGTTACTTTACCCATTAACACCTGAACTTTTTTTTGCGTCGTAATACAAAATAAAGTTATTTGTTTTATCTGAATAAATATTTTTTGTGTTAGCTGCTACTTGAGTTTTGAAAAGAATAAAATAAATTTTTGTTGGTGCTAAATTTTCTTTTGGTGTGAATTTTTTTTTAGAATTCTGGTAATTTGCGTGATGTAAATGTCACGCTATTTCAAAACAGGGCAAAAGAGAATAGAAGGGCTGGTTCACTCCTTTGAAGTATCTCTCGCCGCGCCAATCCTCCGATTTTTTCTAGTGACGTCACTTTGGTGCAAAACTCGCACTTTTACTTCAAGAACGGAGCGTTCGGCCTTACTAGCTTTTACTAATAATTGAGCATTTCTTTTTGAGAGATATTGTAAGACATTTGTTATTTTCTATAATGACTTTCCTCAGTTTTTGCAGTGAATTTACAAGAATTTAAAACTATTATCGAAATACCAGTTTGCGCGATTGCAGCTTGAAAAAATTCTGATAGAAAAGCAAAAGGAAAAAATATAATTTTCCGCGTGTTCCCTAAAGTAAATGAACAGCTATGTAAATAATGGATTCCGAAACGACACAGTTAATATAAAACAGCAATACGTTTATTCTGTCGTTAAGAACTTTTATAAAAATTCATTATCTANAAGTTTTAGTTATTTAGCTATATTGAAGCGTTTTAGTTTTGCATTGATAATAGGTTCATGCACAAATAAGCATAGACGGTGTAAAATGGCAGAGCACTGTGAACAATGCCTAAAATAAGATATCAAATATAAAAGTTTCACAGCATACTAATCATAACACATTGTTCTAAGCATCAGTTTCAAAGCCAAGCATCAGTATCAGCCATCAATTAGTTCGAGGTGATCACTTTGATCAGACTGTGAAGTAACCGAAGGTACGCGGTTTTGGTCTTAGTTAAACTGCTCTACAGTAAAATGCTGGACTAAGCATACAGATCATCGGGCTACATAATCGGGGGAGATATCTCACTCTGTAGAAGATAAAAATTGTCATTGCATGCCATTCGATCATCCTTAGTAATATTTTCCATACCGTTGCAGACAGCTCATTTGTTGTTCTAGAGTAACATAAAAAATTGAAATTATTATCAGATATATTAAATTTTACCGGTAATTCTAATGATATAGGTATGACAAACAGAATAATCTTACTGAATATTGTAAAAAGAAAAAAAACCGATCTTAATAATGAGGCTCATAATTATGATGCCCAAAACTCTGCTTTTATTCATTAAATGTCAACTTCGGATTTAGTTTTGCGTAAATGATAGCTTTTCTCAGCAGTTTATAAATATTTCTTCCGCAAGGAAAGTTTTTAAACATTTTAGCCAAGTAAACCAAAAGTTCAAAATGAAGAAGAAGAAAAACTTATCTAGAGGAAAATACATTTTAAAAAGTGTAACATTTAATTTACAATGATTTTAACCAATATTATCAGCAGATATATTTTAAATAAGTGAGAATAATTATTTAAATCCACTTACTAAACAGTATGTATGTATTTAAACTATAACTTAAATCCAGATTAAACTGGCTCAAAATTCAGGAACTCGGTCGTCAATTTGAGCAAAAAGGTAGGCTAGAATAGAAATAAAAAATTATGAACAAAAATATTTTAAATAACAATACAAGAAAAAGCACTTTTTCAAATCGATGCTTTTGAACTTTTTTATTTCCTTTTTTTTTTATAGTGATCGTATTTGAAGTTCAGAGAATAAACGATTTCTCGGATCTACTCCAGTGTTATTGAAAAATAGTTTTCTCTCTCCCTATTATTTCCCAAAACAAATTTTTCAAGTAAATGCTATTGTTTCCAAGACAGGTGTTATCCTAAAATATTTAACTTTCCCTAAAAGCATAAAAGATTTCTTTATTGCATTGTTTTGATGTCACAGTAAATTGGTTAAAGATAAAGACGTTAAAGGGGTGTTTTGGATATTACAAAAACATTAAATTTAACTTGAATCATTTTTATATGTGACGATAAAAACCTGTAAATCCTAGGTTTTACGTAGTTTGTTTTTAGTTTGGTCTGTTACCAAGCTTATGCAGTAAAACTTATGAATTATCGAGCCACTTTGGTGAATCCCATGATTTACGTGTAAAATCTAAAATTTGTCAAGCATCGGAGTTTTACATTTGTTTCGGTAAATACCCGAAATCTGGTAAATCCTAGGTTTTAGCGAAGCGGCTTTGTAAAAAAACTGAAGTAGGCTTATATGATTCATTTTCGCGCTTTAACCAAGCGGTGAAACCTATGAGTTACTTAACCACTTAGTTAAAATTTTGGTGATTCCTGTAAAACTCAGAATTTACCATACATCGGGCTTTTACAGTTGTTACGGTAAAAACCCAAAATCTGGAAAGTCCTAGGTTTTACTAGTAAAATGTAGGGTCCACAATGTGGATTGGTAAAAGTCCGAATTATGCTTTAATATGAATTTTTTTTTAACCGTTTGCTAAGAATTCGCAGTAAAACTTCAGAGCATTTTGGTGAAAGTTAGATTTCTCCGCTATAACCTAAGAAATATATTTTTATATATTATCAAATCGCTCAATAATTATGAAATCCAGGTTTTTTTTCCTGTTAGGTGAAATTTATAAATTCTCTTACTATGTATTTTTATCATTTATAGACAATATCGTTCTGGAATTGATTCTAAAATAATTTTTGTTCTCTAAGCGATTAAAAAAAAAAAAAACTTCATATCGCAGCAATGGAGAGGAAGAAATTGTAGAAAATGGTGGAATTGTCTAACCTACTTACAAGGAGTGCCGATATTATTTAATTTACACGAAAAAAAGAAAGTCTAGTTTATTTTTTCTATCTCCACAGAAGTCTCTTTGCCTTCAGAATTACTTTCATCATTGCAATTTTAAATATATTATCGAAATTAATTCAGATTTTCGCAAGGGGTATCGTTCAGTTTTAAATTGAAGCTTGTCTAACTTGATTTGAGCAAATAAGCATTGAGTTATTTCTGGACTCAAGAATCAGATCCTGTTGTTGGCTGAGACTTTCATACCTTAACTTGTTGTTTTCTGTTTTTTACTGTAAAATTAAGCAGATATACAATTGTTTGCAAACTATTTATAAAAAAATAATCGTAGATAGTTTAGATGCAACCATTATCTAAAAATTTTTATGCAAAAAGAAATAAAGTATATAAATAGCATAACTTTTTTTTAAAAATAACTTAATTATGGAAGAAAGCATTTTATAATGTTGATCCCAAATGCATTTAAACTATAAAATGTAATCGCAAATTTTACAGGATTTACACAATATCACCCTAAAGAAGTACAGAAAGCCTTACAT